AGAGAGAGAGAGAGAGAGAGAGAGAGAGAGAGAGAGAGAGAGAGAGAAAGAGGCACGGAGTGGAAAGAGTGAGGAAGAGGAGGGATAGACTGTCAGGGGCACACTTAACAAGAGAGAGGAAAAGTGTGTGTGCATGTATGTGTGCATGTGAGCCAGCTGCAAATCTCTGTGGTTGTGGGACACTTCCAAGATAAGACCCATCTGCCAGGGTGATTTCATTAATAATACAAGCTCTTTGTACAGGGCACTCAATCTCACTCTCTCTTTCTTCCTCTTGCACTTCTTACATACACACTCGGCCCAGGGAGGAGAGGATCCTCCACACTCCCAGTAGGAGCATTGCAGCCGAGTTGTTGGTTCGTCCATATGTAGCAAAGCTCTCAAGGGGTCACCTCTCAACATGTTAGCTGATAGAGAGAAGGATGTAGGAGGAGGAGGAGGAGTGGACTAGCCCACCTCCTCAAACCCCTACCGTGATGAGAGCTCTGAGTGCTCAGCAAGGGGTTCCACTCTCATGACTCCACTCACAGCCACTGAACAACACGCACACTGCCTCAGAAACACACACACACGTACACACTTTCAAATATTCTGCAGACCACTCCACCCCACAAGCGTTCTATTTATTTACAGAATAAATGTCATCCTGGTTCAGATCTGCCATTGCTGACAGTCTCTCTCCCATTCCATTCTCTCTTTCTAAACCATTGTGGCTACTCCACATATCCAACTGACTTCATATATCTATTCAAACAGCAAAGTTAACGTCTGTGGCGGAACAAGCACTGCTTGTATGTGTAAACGACACATTTGCCCAGGTGGAGCCTCAGATTCATTGAGACTTTACTGTCACACAACTGAGTCACATATTGATCACAAATATGTTTGCGACAACAAAATTGATCCAAGTAAAAATGTATCATATATTATGATGCTTATTGGCACTGGGTCTCTGGCAGTACAGGTTTGTGTGTGTGTGTATGTGTGTGTGTGTGTGTCCTGACTGAAATTGAGCCCACTGTCCCCCATCTGATTGACTCCTGGCTAGTCTTAGCCGTGACAATTTGTAAAATTGACAAAGGTTGTTACAACACAAGTCGCTGAAGGGCAGAGAGTTGGTTTAACAGCCCGGGAGGAAAACTCACTCAGCCTTCAACATATAAACATAAACACCTACACACACACACACACACACACACACACGCACACACATACGCACACACACACACGCTCACATTGGAAAGGTAAAGATGCATACAAAAAACTAATACACACACAAGGATACCCACATGTACACACACACCCACCCCTAACTTATTTGTGTGTCCTTGAGTCCGAGTATAATTTGTTTCACCCCCCTCTGCTTCTCTCTCTCTCTCTCTCTCTCTCTCTCTCTCTCTCTCTCTCTCTCTCTTTCTTTGCCACATATCATTTTTCTCTCCACCTGACACACCTCTGGATACTCCTGAATGCCAAACTGGGCAGACTGATTGATTGCATGTGCCAGCGTGTGTAAGTTTGTGTGCCTGTGATTATAGTTTATGTTATGTGTCCTGCTGTGACCCCTCCCTCCCTTCTCCCACTCTCTCTCTCTCTCTCTCTCTCTCTCTCTGTCTCTGTCTATGTATCTCTGTCACAGCAGGGTGGCACATTGAGGGCACAGCGTTCCGGCTGGTCAACCTGACAGAGCCGCTGACTCGTGGTGCGGCGTGGATTAACATGGCATGGAGGATCTCAGGCCGGAGGAGGTCAGCCAGAGCCCGTCTGCATCAGCTACCATCACCGCAACACAGCAAGGCAGACATGGACACTTACACTGACTGCCTGTCTGAATGTCCAATTCAAGTGTTTAACAGCACCCTGTTTAATCCAAGATCAACTCTCTCAGTTAACTCGTATACAACACCTTCATCCAAAGTGCCTTCCAGAGCCTTTAACTCTGCATCCACACTGAGCTATACCAGCAACTATCACTGGAAGTCCATCCATTTCCCAAAGATAACACCGTTGCCACCAAGCATTACATCCATAAACTTGTCAACCAAAATAAATTGGCCGCAACTGAACCTTTTATCAACTGTGAACAAATGTTTTCTCCATCAGGAGAGTGCAAAATTGATGATAAGTTGATTTTAGCCAGAGGAAACAACAAGAGTTCTCTATAACTATTATAGTGGCGGCATTAAAATGGAATCCAGAGGCTCTTAGTATGCCACCAGTGCAGTCCTTGCCTTGATTTGTATCCAAATATTAAATTATGTTAATTCACTTCTTATATTTCTTCAATTTGGAACTCATGAATCCTAACGAGGGTGGAGATTAGAATATGTCACACCACCCTGTCCCTTCAAAATGACGTTCCCATGAAACTAAACTGCATTCTCAAATATGTTTAGAGAGAAACATTATTTCTCTCCCGGATTACCGTCAAACACTGGATTAACATTGTAAATTGAAACAAAAGAAAATGCAACAAAATAACTATGTTATATTTAGGTAACAAAACTACTTGGTTAGGTTAAGTAAAAACGCATTAAAGATGATTCGTCAAAAACAAACTCAATATGTTTCCCTTGTTCCCCATAATTTATTTTCCAAGAGACATTTTAGCTGCACGACAAAACAGTGACATAGACTACATCCAAATGTTTGTATTTTACCTTGTGAGTGATAATGTCTTCTAACATTCACTCAAACCAGATTATTTTTCATTAAAAATACCCCAAATAAAATACGGCTTACGTGTCTTTTGTTGCACTCTTGCTAGGAAACTTAACTCTTGCAAAACACTTTTAATACGAGAGCTTCTTAAGGATGGTGCTCCTAGAAATCTGGGGTGGGTGTACAAAGTGAAGCAGTTTTACGCCAAAGTAAATTCATCATGTCTCGTAAACATTGAATCTTGTTTCCTGGAATGTTTAGTATGAATATTTTGTGACTTTGCAGATACTTGCATTAAACACGTTCCTTATTCTGGGTAGCGCGATGTAAAGCAAACTACACAAGCACAACTACATGTGTGTAAAAAAAGCATCGTAATAATGTTTCTCACAAGCTTTAAAAATTACTTAAAATCAATGCTGGTCTGTTGGGATCTTAAAGGTTTTACGTGAGATGACCTTACAGAATACACAACTGTAAAAAAAAACCTGACAAGAAACACATACATGGATTAATACACACGAAAAAACCCCAAATACAAAACAACTCCAAATCCTCCCTCCAGCATACTGTACAAATAAGCATGCGGTGGATAATCACTCTCTGGCGCTCTGTCTAGCGTGACGCACATGACATGGCACAAGCCTCCTCACACTCCCTCGCTGTGTCACACAGACTTGACACATACATATTACACATCAGCCTCAAAATAAACATACCGTAAAAGGACATGACAAGCATGGATCAAGTCCAGGGTCCCATAGCGGGGGGAAACTGGTGACACTCGGAGTGATATTGACTGGTGTGATATTGTGACAGAGGAGCAGGGGAGCTACAGCAAATCAATGGCTGTATGGAGAATGACTCGGTTGTCTAGAGAAGCGTGTCTGAGGTTGCATGTCAAAGGGCACAGTTGGTAGCGTTGCAGTCACAGGCTGAAGCGGCATTTCGAAAAGCAACGTGTGATATTTGCAGCGATATAAAAGCTCGAGCTCGATTATAAATCTTAGAGACATCAAATCGGACATAAAACACTACCTCGTGTCTTTCTGCTGTGGGGGAAATATTCAGTAGAAGCAGTAGACCAGATTATATGGGCATTATACTTCTGGCCACTACACCGTGGGATGCTATGTGTAATAAGTGCTTTTGGTGAATAGCTTGCCCTTTGTTATTACATTCCCACTCATAAAACTGGAGACTGTTTACTTTGGTTTAAAGTTAAAGAATTTACAAAAGCGACGCTCGTTGTCACTTCTATGTTTATATATGGTACTCGAGATCGCTCTCTTTTCCGAGACCACATTTTTAGAAGGTCTCATCGCTCAAGCGACCGCATTTTTACTCGCTCTCAGACAAAGACGACTCTGGATTTTATTTCAAGGCCGGTCAAGACCACAACTGCGGGGATATCACTAAATTGCCTGTGCATCGTCTAATTTTACTGTTAACATCGTTACTGTGATTGCTTTGAGGAAACAAACTAAAATTCCCACACACAGACATTTCTCACGTACACTTATCCATACACACGTATAGAGCATATGTGGCAATAAAAGAGGTGAATGGAGAGTAATCTTCACGTGTTTTCTCTGGGTGTTTTATGGAATATGGATCTCAATTTGAGGGGTTTTGCATTTTCCACATTTTATCGTCAGTATGTCATGTAGTGTGGGACTCGCAATGGTCTTGGCTTGGTCTCAATCCAAGGTGCAAAAACAATGTTTTAATGCATTTAGCACAATACCTTTCTCCAGTATTTTAGTTTGTTTTGACATACACTTGAAGTTCAGTTGTGATGGAGATTATTGCTTTCCTACGTGTCACCGATCACATCCCTGTCAATGGAACCAAGTGTTGATTTCACCTCCTTTTAGGTCCTTTGAGCAGATAATGACTTCCTCCAGCTACTGAGAGTCATCCTTAAACAGAAGAGTGCTGCAGCTCTTTTGTTGTTGCCATGCACGCTGGAAATCTCTCTCCATAGGGCGACACCGAGCCCTGGCATGTTGTGTTGAAGAGATATTTTTAGTTTCTTAGTTTCACAAAAAGAAGACAGCTTGCACACACAAGAGCAAACACCCGCAGAGAGCCTGTTTTAAGTGTCGTGGATTTAAGCTTAGTTAAAGGACTCTTGAATAAATGATAGTGTGTATGAAGGCGTTGCCTGATGTTGTCTTTCATCATCTCTGTAGCTGGAGTTGTAATGAAAAGGCCAATACTCACAGGGAGGGATCATGGATGAGATCTTTGAGGTTGACGCCACTGCGATCCTCCGCAAGGTTCCGAAAACAGCTGTCACTCACTGGAAAGACAGAGAGAAACACGAGGAAAGCAAAATTAGCACACAAACTGATAAGCAATCTAAGATGAAATGCAAGGGCTTTAGCACAACTCCATCATTTACCGGGGACAACGATTTGCTGCAGATGATTCTTTCTCATAATTGTGACTAATTACAAGGGAAAAGGTAGCATACTATCCAAAAACTGAAATGCTTTTCTTCCCAAAAAATCCTTCACTCTCCTGGCAGCTAACTCGCTCGCTTTTCAAGACCAAGAATCGCTGTTTTCTAATTTTGTAAACCGTGTAATAGATGGCCACATGTCATTTCTCAAGGTGGGCGACTGAACGGATCATCAGATGAAGAAAATGACGAAAACACACCAAAATGATCTTTCTTCTTGATAAGATGATGAAAACTAGATAAAAAAAAACAAACATCCAAGGCGCTCCGATCGCTCACATCTCTGAATAATTCGGTGCCGTTTCTGTATTCAGTCTTACATTTTGATCCACATTTCGCGCAAGTGAAAATAATCTGTATCCTGGACATATACAGTGCAGCGCTCATCCACTGTGTCTAAATTAGGGAGGATAGGATGTTCTCATTTGTTGCAGCCCCACTTGTCAGTTTCAACTGTGATAAGGCAGGCGAACCTGACTGTATATAAAAAAAATCATGTCTGGTGCAACTGCTACATTGTCTTCTCGTCATGTTGCCAATCAAATATGGCCACAATGTGAATAAAGCACTGACACCACCATCACCCCGCACACTGTTTGATCACACCGAGCCTACGTGAAGTCACACCTTCATCGTCTCCAACCTCTTCCTATAAAAGCACGGCAGCCCCTCGACTGCAGAGCAGGTGCGAGCCACATGAGTCATCCTGGTGATCACGGACGGATAGAGTGACGGATGGAGTGAGACAGTGATAAAGGACGAAGACATGGGGAGAGGAAAATGGGAAAGAGAAATAACAAAGTGAGAGGAGACAGAAAGAGACAGACGATGGAGGATGAAGAGAGGCACAAGGTGTTTTGTGATCTGACAGGGCCAAACGTGAACGGACACGCTCGTGTCTTAAAATAGATTCAAAACTAAGCACCGGAGGGGGGCGAGGATGGTGGCGGTGGTTGTGGTGCAATGGAATTAATCCAAAAACTTGATGTGCTAGTTGTAGACAAGACTGGAAATGCCATGATGTTACTCCAATGAAGTGCCATGATCCATGAACGAGAGGAGGGGGCGGAGGGATGGGGTGAGTGGATGGGTGAAGCAAGAATGGTGTAAAAAAATGGAAGTGCTATGGCAAAGGGGGGGGGGGGGGGGGGGAAGGGGAGGGGGGAAAAAAAGAAGGGGGGGGGGGGGGGGGGGGGGGGGGGGGTGAAGGAAAGGGATGCAACAAACAGAGATGGAGGATGGAGGTATGAGGGTGAAGGATGTCGGTGTGGAAAATGGGAGATTGAGGTGGAGAAGAGTGGATGAAAAGGATGTCGGGTGGAGGGATTTTATTTTAAAGAGGGGGGAAGGGTGATGAGGAGAAAAGCAGTGGTGATGGGGCAGAGCACTGTGGAGACAGAGGTAAACAGAGGGTGCAGGACATTGCTCTGGGCTCTGGCAAATAAATGGGAGAGTGCTGACATTTGCACACCGAGCCAGCTCAGAAGGAGAGAAAGAGAGGGAGAAACAAGAGAGACAGAAAGGCTGCGGGAGGAGAGAAAAAGGGGAGCAAGCACATGGAATACACACCACCCTGGCTTTAGAGGGGCACTGCTGCATAAGTGCATGTGTGTGTGTGTGTTTGTGTGTGTATATGTGTGTGACGAGGGAACTTCCTTCAAGACTGCAGTATTCCTTACACTCTCACACACACACACACACAGAACCCTCCTCAGTCTTTCTCTCCCAGCTACCCCTTGATCTAAAAATAGCCGTTCCACTCTCCTACAAGAGGCAGCAACCATTCTGAACCAATCAACACGCTCTGTCAAAGGCATCGGTACCCACCACCCCTCTATGTGTGTGTGCGTGCGTGTGCACGTGTGTGCGTGTATGTGTGTGCAACAAGGGGAATTCCTGAGTGAAAGTAATAAACCTGCCCCTCCCTGCTGCACCGGTTTAGTAGAAATGATAGGAAAGCGATCCCTTCTACAAAACAATAGCGGGGGAAAAGAGTCAGAAAGCAAGAGGGAGAGAACAGGGGGAAACACAAAAAGGGAGAAGAGGCGCGAGAGTGGAAGAGAGGGAAATCTGGCTGCAGTTGAAACAGGCTTCAAAGGAATATTAATGTGATCCTGTGCAAGAGCTGAAGACAGGGGAAGAGGGAGGGAGGATGGAGGAAGAGGAGTGAGAGGGGAGGACAAAAAGGTGCGCAAGAATTCGTGACGCTCGCTCGCTCCCCACTTCCCGAGCTCCGCCTATACACCTTTCTCCAGGTAATTCTGCAGCTCAGCACATCGCCGGTGTCCTAAAACCTGCACGTAGGAATCACAGCAGACGTCCACTTAGATTTGTTTTCAGCCCGCTGAGAAGTTCAGCGTCACACCACTACAGTCCTACTGCACAGCCAAAGTGAAGACGCAATGCAGTGACCCCTTTAACGGAGGACGCTGTTGACCATGGTACATACAATACACAGCTAGCTAAAAGGCCGATGCTTCTACATGGCTGGACAACCGCTAAAAGACGGACAGACAGTTGTCAGAGCTGAAACTGCTTCTAGACTACCAATATATCATTTTTTTATCAGCTTTTATTTGTGTGTGCCAATTATAATTAGAAAATGTGGCTAAAAACTCCCAAAAAATGCAGTGATTTTAACAAGACTATGCTATTCTATACTTTACTTTACGTGCTTGAGATGGAGAATCTTAATGTCTTAAATACTGTATTTATCCATATGGGCATCTCTGTCATTTAAATTTTTATTTTTTTAATTCAATATCCATTTTCTGGTGCCTATGCCTGTATTGACTCCTATCATCTCATATTTGCCTCCACCTGTGAGTACGCTTGAGTGCAGAAGTGCCTGGATGTCCCCAGGCTACAGCAGTGGGAGGAGAGCAGGAGGCCTGTGCTTCAGAAGCATTAAGCAGGGCAACAGCACTCACACATGGGATATACTGTAGACGTGCACATCCAAACACAAACACTTGCGTATGCTCCTAAAAGGGTTAATTGCTGAACCCTAGCAGAGCAGGAGAGATCAGGACACAAGGGAAGACGTCACGAGACCAAAGAGAACTGATCAAGGAAAAATGTCTCGAGCGAAAATAAATGGAGAAAGAAAGGAAGAATTATTGCTGAAAAGGGAAGACAAAAAATATTTTTATGCGCTGTTTCCCTGTTCATTCAAACTCAAAAATATGCACTGATGAATGCAGGGAAAAAGCTTGAAGTGGTCAAATAAGATAAGTCATACAATCCTGCCAAAACCAAAATGAAACTCACAGCTGTGTTACAGAGAGGTATGCAGCAATGTGTGTACTGGTGGTTCCATTAGCTGTAAGCCAAACACACCATCCATTCGGTTAGCTGGTATAGCAAACACACCAACTGTAATACCCCCCCACTGTGGACGCAGTGGAGCCGATGGGGGAATCGCAGATGCACGAGGTTGGACTGTGGCATCAGAATTAAATTCATCCACTTTATTTGGTAAAATTCCAGTAATTAAAGTAACTAAACTTGCTATGTTTGCCAGCAGGCTAGCCCGTTGTGTGAAACAGGCTCAGGTCATCTCACCTGTTGGCTTATTGTTTCGACTATATTTGAATTTCTACAATATTTCTTTTGAGCTTCTTCAGTCAGTAACATTGTGATAAATGAAAGAAAAACAAACATATCAACCAAACAAATGACAATAGGCAATAGCGAGTAGCAACAGGTGATGCGAGTCTATTACTGTGAATGAGCCAGTTAGTCATGCAAAGACGGTAAAACCACTGAGAGTTCAAGTATGTGAGTATGCAATTTTTATGATACAGATATTTGTTAGCACATTTGCTAGCCTGAGGTATACAGGTTACTAATAAAGAAATAAAACGTACTACACTGGGCTATTGCCATGAGCAGAATTCTTATCAATTCAGATTTTAGTATATGTGACCATGTGTTATTATGGATTTAGACAACACAATGGTGTATCACAATATCTTGATGTATGATTTTCTCACGATATGATTCCATTGAAAGACAATACATTGTGAATTATCGCCTGTACATTACACTATGGGACATTGACGGCACACTTTGTTTAGACACAGTTACTGACTTTTCTGAGCGTACTTACTTTAGTCACCTCCTAGCCGAAAAAAATTGTGTGGAATTATGTGGCAGTTTTGTCTTTTTCTGATGATATACTCTATAGGTGCTGACCATCTGTAATACAATAGCTTTGCTATAGCTAGCAGGCTATGTGCTGTCAGGCTGTTAGCCACTGGCAGAGAGGATTCATGAACTGCTACTATGTTCCACTCAATCATTTCCAGGACATAAAGCAGTCAGCACTCATTATCTCCCTGGAATCCCACACTAATGGGGGTTCCCTTAAAGAAGGTCTTCTCAGACATTCTCTCTTACAGACACACACACACACACACACACACACACACGTACTGTGTGCATGAATACACATATATAGACAAATGTCACACAACAACATCAGCTTCGTACACTATTTTCAGGTATATGGACACACACACACACACACACACACACACACACACACACACACACACGACGACACCTTGCCATGGATCAGCAATTTTACACAACATGAGCTACAAATCGCAGTGCAAGACAGAGCGCCTGACGTTGCTTGAGCCAAAGTCTGCTTCCAGCCCAATTATGACAGTGCTTATCCATCATTATGGCACTATACCCTGCTGCTCTTAAAGGGAATCTGGCTGTCTTGGGTATTCCAGTACTAAGCAAGAAATGGAAATCCAACTGTCAACTTTTCATTAATATGTTTAAACAAGCTTTGCCAGTTAAGATCATCCCTAAAAAGCGCTCAT